CGGAAGACATCCTTATGTTCCATGTTTATTACCGCTGTTCTTGCTGTTGCTATTATTTACTTGCTACTATTGGACTAACACCATCTGTTAACTCGTGGGGTATCAAGCACCATTAAATCCCTTTACATTCATTGATTTATCCGTTGGTGTATTACTTTGTGTATTCCCTAAGGAAACCTTATACTGTGAATATTCCTATAATTACCCCTAGCTCACAGAAGGAAGCACTGGTGGTCAGAGGAGTTAAGGAACTTGCCCACGTCCTCCTCTTAGGAAGTGATGCAGCCAGGATTTGCACTCAGTGATCTCTGGTTCCCAAGCTCATGCTCACATCAGTACACCACATTGCCTCCCTGTGTGCCAAAATGTTTACTTGGGACCTCTCCACCAGGGAGGGGCACTGCTGTCAGTGGTGGATGGTGACACAAAGGTTTAGGGAGCTGAACGATGCCACCCCCTGAGGCTGCTGGCCCTGATTGTTAGTGAGGTGGAACGGCTGGCGATGTGGTGCTGATATTGGCAGTGGCCAGGTGGCCACGGGAGGTGCCTGGAAAAGAAAAGGCAGTTTTATGTCATAGAAACCAGACAAGATCATTTCATTTTTTTAAAGAATATTTTTTATTTTAGAGACAGAATACAGAGTAGAGATAGAGACAGAGAAAGAGAGATAGAGTGCTCCCATCCACTGGTTCACTTCCCAACTGTGTGCAACAGCCAGGATCAGAAGTCAAGAGTTGGGACCCCAATCCAAGTCTCCCATGTGGGTAGCAGAAGCCCAACTATTTGAGCCGTCATGACTGCCTCCAAGGGTCTGCATTAGCAGGAAGCTGGAGTCAGGATCTGGGGATATAAGCCAAGTGCTCCAGTGTGGGATGCGATTGTCTTAACTGGCATCTCCATGCTGGGCTGCACTCCTGCCCCAGAGAACAGGTCTTAAGAAGAAGACCTGTGTTGTGGTGCCAGCCATCCTTCCTCTGACTGTTTGCTTGCCCTTAAAATTTGCACCTGCCCTGTCTGGACCTCAGCTTTCTCCTGACAGGGCTATTTGAGGAGCAAATGAAATTAAAGTTGTGAAAGCAATCTGTAAGCTGTGAAGTGATTTCCATGTGCAAAGAACTATTTTTAATTTTCTCTAGTGAATGAGGGCACCTGGAACTTATGACCTAAAGATGATTCCATCTACAAGTGGTAGCTCAACTTGCAGCCAGGCAGGTGGGTGGGTGAGAGATAGCAAGGGAAGTGGTCCAAGCTGGGGTGAGGATGCCAAGCCTGGAGAAAAACCCCTCCTCCCTCCAGGGCCCTTCCTGTGACTGCTAACAGCAATGTTCTCTGCTTCCAGAACCTAGTCATTCTTGAAAAGAAAATTTTGAAAATTGTGCTCCTCCCAAATATGTGCCGAGTAGCATGAGTTGATTTTCTGCTGAGCCCTACGACTAATGACAGCTCCACCAGGGGAACTGCATGGAGCCAGACACCCTGGGTGAAGAGCTGTTCAGTGCTGACACGCTGTTCACCACTGAGGACAGGAGCACAGGTACCTCTTTCTGGCTTTGGGTCCTTGCTTTTACCACTTGTACTTGTAGGTTTGGGTTGAACGGCAGAGGGCAGGAAATAAACAGGTGTGTACAATAGCAACATACCTTCATAGCTTGATTGGTCTGGCAAGATTTGCCCCTCTAAGTAGGGGTATGAGGGACGTGCAGTACTAGAAGGACCCTTAGATTAGATCTCTCAGTTACAATAACTGGAGCATATATGTTCTGCCCCACCTCCCTTCCTTTCTTCCTTTTTTCCTTTGACCAGGGCAGACATCACTAATCGATAACAGCAGTCTTTCCTGTTGTGTCTCAGAACCCTTCAGCTCTACAGCCATCCCGATAAACTAGAATTGGTGCATTTGAAGAAACCCAGTTGCTTTTGCTCTGCAGCAAAGCACTTAGGTGTTTTTTTTTGTTGTTTTGTTTTTTTTTTTTTTTTTTTTTTGACAGGCAGAGTGGACAGTGAGAGAGAGAGAGACAGATAGAAAGGTCTTCCTTTTGCCGTTGGTTCACCCTCCAATGGCCGCCGCAGCCAGTGCGCTGCGGCCAGTGCACCACGCTGATCTGATGGCAGGAGCCAGGTGCTTCTCCTGGTCTCCCATGGAGTGCAGGGCCCAAGTACTTGGGCCATCCTCCACTGCCTTCCGGGCCACAGCAGAGAGCTGTCCTGGAAGAGGAGCAACCGGGACAGAATCCGGGACTAGAACCCGGTGTGCAGGCGCCGCAAGGCGGAGGATTAGCCTATTGAGCCACGGTGCCGGCCAGCAAAGCACTTAGTTTTTAAGAAAATTTATTTTCATTTTACTTGGAGAAAGAGAGAAATCTACCCACTGGTTTATTTCCCAAATGCCTCGACTTCTGACGTGGGTGGAAGAAACCCAAGTACTTGTACCATCACCTGCCGCCTCATAGGCTGGGCCTTAGCAAGAATTAGAATCCGAAGCAGAGCTGGGACTCAAACCCAGGCACTCTGCCATGGGCTGGAGGCATCCCGAGTGGTGTCTTAACTGCTGAGTCATTCATCTGCCCTGTGCCTGCATCCTGACTGTGGCCTGTCAGGTGAGGTCAGGTGTGGAATTTTCTACTTGTAGTGTTCGAACAGCTTTGGATTTTGTGGAGTTTTTGATTTTGAGTGTTTTGGATTAGGGATGTTCAGCCTGTACCAGTTACCTATTGCTCCACAGCAAACCACCCCTCAAACATGGTAAATCAGTGACCATGAATAATTTCTCATTAGTCTGGATTGGTTAGCAGTTCTGCTGATCTGAGCCTGGCTAGGCTGAGTTCAGCTGTTTGCCGAGGCATCTGTGGTCAGCTGGTGGATCAGCTGTGAGCTGGCTGCCTGGGGATGTCCTCAGCTGGGACAATGCCTCTCCCCTCCACATGGCCTTTAGTCCCCCAGCAGGCAGCCCTAAGCTTCTTCTCAAGACACTGACAGGTTCCAAGAGGACAAATAGAAGCATTTGTTTCCTGTGGAGCCCAAGGCTCAGAACTGGCACAGTGCCACACCTGCCATATTCTATTGCCCATACAAGGCCCCCAGCAGGTCTGAGGCCAGCAGAGGGAAGCAAGGTGCCTGGACACATAGTTAAGGGGATGCTGACTGTCAGGGTAGCCCCTGTACTTGCATGACTCTGAGAGTGAGCACCTTGGATTTGGAGCCCCGGGAAGCTTGATTGCCCCATCCTAGACTAACCAGTGCCGTGGCTCACCTGGATTTCAGGAGTGAAGGCACAGACCTCACCGCTCTGTGGGAAGAACCATCAAGTCTCGCTGCTAAAGTTATAAACACAAGGAGGGGAAGAAGCAAGGTCTTCAACGCAATGAGTCAGCAAGAGGGTATTACAAAATCTCCACAGTCACAGCAGAGCTCCAGCTCCTGCTGTTCATAATCCTCAACCTTGGGATCTTTCTCCCACACCTGGATGGGCATTATCTCCAAGTGGTCTTCGAACTGTGCCCATTTTCTCAAATCTGACACACCCTTGGCACACCAAGGACAAAGGAGATGAGGTAGGACCAAGATTTTAGGTCTCAAGAAAGAATGGGCATAGCCACGAATTATTAAAATTGCTCCATGATGATACTCTTGCAGAAAGTCTAAGGTTATTTTTACAGTGTTGTAGTCTCATTGTGTTTGCTGAATCTAGGCTATCTGCTTTTTCCCGTGGAATTCTAGGAAATGAAAATTACAGGTTTTCAATTCAGATTTCCAAAAGATGAAGATATGTTCACAGCTGGACCTAGAAAATGTGGTTCCTTTGGGGTCACTGATACTGCAAACTGGCCCCTGGGTGCATCGTCATCACAGCTGGACCTAAGGTCACTCTCCAGTTGAGAGTGTCAGGCTAGGGCAACAGGAGTGACATGGACCAGACCACTTACTTAAGGAACAGCATTAACCTATGGTGTGATGTGCAAGATCTGGGTTTTGCCTCCAACTTTGATCTATTGATCCAGAGAGCTTGGAGTTGGCCTTAAGTTTGTTGTCTTCCTCTGCTACTCCACTCTGAATGCCTGGCCTGTAGGGTAGCCATAAGAGAAAGCTTGTCCAGTGGGTTTTAACAGAAAGTGCTCAGCCCAGTGGAATCTTCCGTGGTCCTCCTTTGCCATGCCCTTACCCACTCTATCTCCTTTCCCTGGAAGGCCCCTCTAGCTTCTTTAATTCTTTGATCCAATATCTACCCCTTTATTGAAGTCCTACTTAAAGTCTTTGTATAAATTCTCTGAGATAGCATCACAGTTTGGGGGTGTTAAGAATAGGATTGGAGCAGTGTTTAGCCTAGTGGGGGAACACAGTGCATCCCAGGTGCAGATACCTGGATTTGACACCTGACTCCAGCTCCCATTTCCAGCTTCCTACTAATGCACATCCTGGGGGCAGCAGTAGTGGCTCACATGATTGGGTTTCTACAATCCACAATGGAGACGCAAATTGAGGTCCTGGCTTCTAGTTTCAGCACCCAATCACTGTGGATATTTGAGGAATGACCTAGCAGATAGGAATGTTCTCTCTCTCTCCCCCTCTTCTCTCCCTCTGAAAAAAATAAATTAATAATTTAAAAAATATGTGGTTAAAGTTGAGATATTTGAAATTGGCTCTGGATCCAAGTTCATCACTTACTGGCTGTGTGACCTTCAGCAGTATTTTTTAAAAAGTTTTTTAAGGACTATATTCAGCGAGAGAAATGCACAGAAAAGCGAGGGCTTTAGTTAGGGGAGAAAGAAGTCTAGAAACTAAGTTGGGTCCATACCAGGAAGAGAGCAGGCCAGGAGCCACAGGGAGCAAGCATATAGGCAGGAAAGCAGAGGCAGGGTGGAGACCATAAGGCCTTGCACCTGAAGGCGTGGCTCAACAAGGGTGCAACAAGGGTGTGCAACCAAAGAAGGGAGGGGCAGCAGTATTCTTAACTCCTCTGTGTCTCAGCTATAGAACAGATTATAACAACCTAATTACTTTCTAGGTTGTGGTCAAGATTGATTACTTTATTATGTATGAATTGCCAAAAGGATATGGCACATGGTAAGTGTTAATCTTTTATTATGCCTGTTTGAAAGTATCCAGAAACAATTATTGAGAACCTACTTTGTGCTCATTATCTCGCAAGGCTTTGGACATACAGCATTGAATGATTGATGTCATCTCCACCTAACAGAGTTTACAGTTTAACAGCTAAGAAATGCCAATTGAATCCTTTACTGGGATACTGGGCTATTGATTCAGACTTCTCTTTCAGAATGTGGGGACCTGGTCATTGTCTTGAATTTTCCATCAATTTCTTGAGTGTCTGGCATAGAGTTTCATGTGTAGTAAGTGGTATGTCAATGGATGAGAACATGGGTAATAGGAAAATCAGTCACCTGTTCACCCGGGGGCTTTCCCTGCTAGGAATAGAATCTACTCTAGATCACATGAGAAAGATCTTGAATGCAGCACTTTGGCAGCAGTCCTTGGCCAGGAATAAGACATTCAATGCCATCACCGGTAGGAGGTAGCCACCAGGGGCAACAGTCCTTCCTGGAGACATCTTGGGGCAGGATGGCCCCAGATCTGCTTGCCACCATGCACTGCATCCCTTGTCTCTAAGACGGAAAAGATGTAAGGCTGATGCAATGGGAACCACATTGGCTAGGAAGTCGGAGCACCTGGTGTTGGCCCGGGCTCTGCTATACAGCATCTATGTGGTGCTGCACAAATCCCTCCCACTTTCAGAGCCTCAGTTCGCCTGTTTGAAAAATAGTGAGGTTGTACAGGACCTGTGGTTGCTAAACTTGTCCTCTTCTGTCCTGTTCTTCCTTATTTCTCCTTTGTGCTTTATGGGATTATTGTAGCCCAAGCCGTGTTTCAACTAAATCCATGTTCAGAGATGTTCTCTGGGAATCCTGGGGCTTCTCACCTTCAGTTCCCCCTCCCCTCCCCAGCTCCTTCAGCTGCAGCCCAAGAAGCGCATCCAAGGACCCCAGATTCCCACCAACTCCACCAGGAAGCCTCTTCCCTGTCGGCTCCTAGCACTTGGTGCTTCAGAATTCTGACTCAGGAAAGCCTTTAATTAAAATCATTCCAACTTATCCCCATTAAGGATGATTGATGTACCAACCAGAGAATAAGTGCATTAATGCTATAATTATCTGTTGAGGATGTTTTATTGATTCTGCAATGATATTCTAGTCAGTTTGTATTATTTAGTTTCTGACTTAAATCAGGAAGAAATGGCTATTGGTGAAGAAATTAATCATCCAAATCAAATTGTCATTGATGCTTTCAGAAATAAAACTGTAGCAAAGGCTTAGTCAAAGCCCTTACTTGGCCAGTGTGGGTTGCTGTGATAATTGATGGGCTGGGCTGGGCAGAAGGCTTCCATTTTCAGCTGCAAGGTTACAGGTGGAATTTCAGGTCACTGTGAGGGCCCAGTCTTCTCCATTCTGTTCTTCAGATGATGGATCGGGAGAGAACTCTGAGGCAGGGCTTTTTCCTAAGACAGGGAGGACAGCCAGGTCTTCCAGGACTCTGAGCAGTGGCACCACTGTCCCCGAGACCTCATGCTGCAGGAACGGGGCCGGAGGGCTGAGAGAGTGACAGCCTTAGACTTGGACTTGGTTTCAGTGAGAACTCTTTCCATCACGAGTGACAGAGAGCCCAGTGCAAATAGAGGAGCAAAAGGGGAGGCTGACTGAGGAGTGAACTATTAAGGGGAAGAGCTGCTTTCCATATGGTTCTGCTGAAGCACAAGACCTGCCACAGACCTGGCTTCCCTGTGCCTCGGGCTGATTTTCTTCCACCTCTGGGCCTTACCTTTAAGCTACATGTTGGCGAGAAAGGGGCAGGAGCTCCATGGCCCCCATTCCAGCTCCACATTCTCAAGGGAGGTTTGCTTCTTCTCTTTCAGAGCCCAGATGATGGGCTGCATCTTGACGGCACCAAGCTGGGGCAGCTTGGGCATGGGTGCAGCAGCTGGGGCTCTGTGTGCCCCTGCAGGGCTCTCTCCCACAGTCCTCTCAGGCTGCATGAACGCCCCAAGGTAAGTGGGAAGAGTAGGAGGTGGCACTGACCATGCAATCACTTTAAAGCTTTGGCTCTGATGGTGTGTCTGTCAGGACTGCTCACACCCTGCTGAAGGAAGCCAGTCCCATGGCCAAGGTGGTACCCTGGGGGTTGGGAAGTGCGAGTGTGGTAGTGAGGACTTGCAAACACACATGGAGTCTACTGGCACCCACAACGGATGGGTGCTGAGAGAAGAAAGGGGAGTTTCCTCAAGCAACAGCAGGGCAGGGACAGAGATTTGGTGAAGAGGCTTAGATGCCACGTGGGACATCCCCAACCCATATGGGAGTGCTTGGGTTCTGGTTCCCACTCTACCTCCTCCTCCACCACCTTCCTAATGCGTACCTTAGGAAGCAGCAGGTGATTGGCTCAAGTCTTTGAGTGCCTATCACCCACGTGGGAGTCCTGGATGGAGTTGTGGGCTTCCAGTTCAGCCTGGCCATGCCTCAGATGCTGCAGGAATTTGGGGAGTGAACCACTGGGTTGTATCCCCATTTCCATCTCAATCTTGGTCTCTCTCTCTCTCTCTCTCTCGCTCTCGCTCTCACTCTCCATTGCTCTGCCTTTCAGATAAAAATAAACAAAGAAATAAAAATAGATAAAAAGAAAGGCAGGCTATAATTTGCTAGAAGAATGGTAAAACTCAGCCAACCTCTTGTGATATATTGCAATCTCCTCATTCAGTGCTTGGAATCTCTCTACTTCCGAAGGTGCCCCCTGCCCTTTCTCTCTCCCAGTGAAGAGGAACTCAGGACCTACAGAGGCAGCTTGTTGTCTATTTTGACCACTTTGCCATCTACCCAGAAGAAAAAAGTACGAAAAAGCTTTCTTTAACTCAAGCTACTACTGTGGGAGCTACCAGTACGAGAGGAAGGGAGAGAGATTAAAAATATAAAGATTTTTATGGCTCATTCTAGTGGCTTCGCTGAAAGAGAAAGGAAAAAAAATGCAGGGTGTGGAAGGGAAAAAGCAAGACAGAAACTCAGTCTCAAGAGCTCTTCATTGTAATGTACCCACAGCAAATAAAATGCCCTGCCACCCCATGCATCTTTTCACCAGAGTGATGGATTTGTAGTCCTGAGCGAAGCCAAGATCGCTGCTTAGGGCAGAGGGCAGGGGCCTTGATCGATGGGAACATGACTTCCTTTCCTTTCATGTGTCTTTGGATGAACTATTTACTTCCACTTGCTTTTAATTTACTGGCCAACAATTAGAGCTGGCTAACAGGCCAACAAGCTGGCATGACGCACCCAATTATCTTCTGAAAATGTATTTCTATGATTGGGGCTTTTTAATTGCAGCTTAAATCAAATGCTCATGAACCCAGTGGCCGCCAAGGGAGTGAGAGCAGCTAATGAAATAATAAGGGCTCTGACTCCATTCCAGAGGTAAAGGGACATGGGGAGAGGAGGTTGTTCCTTTTTAAAATAATTCTCTTCCCTCTTTATAAGTTTTTTTTTAATTCTAAATTGGCTTTGAAGACAATAATAGCATAAATTTCCCCACAAGGCAGCAATGTTACAAAATGAGCCACTCGTGTCACCTGTTTTGCTTCCCAGGATTCACTCCCACCTGTGTCGCCTTGGCTTTGTGTGGGCGCCAAGGTTCTCCTTCTCCCATTCCTCCATACCTAGCAGCTCTGGCTTTGGAATTCAAATTCGCCAAATGGGCTCTGAGCACTTCCCTCCACTGACAGCTAGTGTGGAGCAGGGAGCCAGCTCTCCAGGGTCGCACGGGGAAGGAGCGCGTGTGCCTGGGACTGATTCATTTATGCAGATGGGGCACGAGCCACAAGCACCTCTCTGCACCAGCTTCTGGTGCTTAATTCAGATGGCTTCCCTCTTAGGCAGCGCCCGTTTGCCAATTATCCCTGAAATGTTTCATTAGGTGCCTTTTTTAAACCCGAGACACCGTGCCATGGGCTCTGGGCATCTGAGGTTCATTTCGTTCTCTCTGGAAGATGAGAAGACCCTGGCTGAGACTCACAAATGCTCCACCGTTTTCACAGACAAATGAGTCTTTTTACCCAGAGTTTCCATGAACCTTTAGGCTTGCATGGGGACAGTGTGCATTGAAACCAGCCACAGCCACAGTTGCTAACGTTTACCTAGTGGCCATCTTTCTTAGCCACAGATGCCCTGAGGGGTCTTAAACACCTACGCCCAGGTTTCTGCCTCCAAGGGTTTGCATTTCATGGGTCTGAATTGGGGTCCAGGAATCAGTTTTTTTTTTTTTTTAAGATTTATTTGTTTATTTGCAAGAGTTATGGGGCAGAGCAGGGCGGGGGGTCAGAGCGTGGACACACACACACACACACACACACACAGGTCTTCCATCTGCTGGTTCACTCACCAAATGGCTGTACAGCCAAGGCTGGGCCAGGCTGAAGCAAGGAGCCAGGAGCTTCATCCAGATCTTCGATGAGGTTGCAGGGGCCCAAGCACCTGGGCCATCTTCCATTGCCTTCCTAGTCACATTAGCAGGGAGCTGGTTGGTAAGCAGAGCAGCCGGGACTCCAACCAGCCCCCATATCAGAGTGCTGGCCCAGAGACATAAATTAAAAAAAAAAATCTCCCCAGATGGTTCTCATGCATGCCCAGCATTGAGAACTGCCATTCCTGCCTATTTATTTTATTCTTAATTAACACATGCAATTTATACATACTTATGGGATACTATGTAATATTTTGGTTCCTCTATACACTCTATCAGTTACGAGACAAGCTTATCTCTCTCCCCAAACATTTATCATTTCTCCGCTGAAAGCATCCAATGTTCTGTCTTCTAACTTTTTTGGAAATGAGAACCACTGATACTGTATTTTCAATGTACCAGCAGCTGTGCTAGAATTGCACATTCTCACAGGAACTGGATGAGGTAATTCTTTCTCTTTCCCTTTTATCACCAGGGAAATGATGACCAGTGGGATTGGTAGCTCATCCAAGATTGCCCAGCTAAGGGGTATTAGGGTTAGGCATTACAAATCACAGCGGATTCTTGTATAGAGGCACAGGGCTCTGGAACTGCTGGAGATTGAAGACTGGGAGAGTTGAGGCAGTAAGAAAACATGGGAGAAGTCGGTTGGCCTCCTCCTCCTTCCGCAGAGACAGGCAGGTGGTCCTTGGTGCGGGACACACACCTTGTGCATGAGGATACACCTGACCACCATGAAGAGCAGCTTCCTGGAGAGTCAGAGAGGGGCCTGAATGGACAGTGGCTGGCTGTTGTGTTTCATTTCTGTGTCCTCAGCTCTCCTCCTATGAGGGCAGTTTTGTCCATGGGCCCACTTTGCTTCTGTTGCCTTTCAGAGGATGACCCCCACTTCCCCCCTCAATTTCTATGAAAATCCCTGGGAGAGGTGGAGGAATAATTCAGTGCAAGGGGGAGGGGAGGGGTGGAGGATGGGTGGTCAGGGGCTGGGTTGGGCTGCACTTGCATGGAGCATGAAAGAAAGGCTGCCTTGGGCTGGCTGTGTGCCTGAGTGATGCTGCTCTGTTGAGTCCGTATCGTTCTGAAGACTAGCTGTAGGGTAGAGCCGCCAAGATTGGTGGCCACGGCAGTGTCTTCCCTTTTGTGGGCCAGGAGGCCAGCCTGGCATTGGCTAAGAATTTGCTTGTGCTTGGGGGTAATTTGTGTCCAGAGCTCCTCACGTTATCTCCCGTGCACTAGCCTCCCTGCCATGTTCAGCTACTTGGAAAAATGCCCACGTGTTTTCAGAATGTCTGAGCCGTGGCTGGAGTGGGAGGAGAGCATAGAACAGACATGGATGGCTGTTTTGCTAGTCTGTCTGCTATATTTTGTTTCTCGTGCCAAGGATTACTTCTAGGGGCAGAGATTCCTGTGGTTCTGGAATCTTTTATCTGTTTGGTTCACTGATGTTTCTCCGATACAGAACCTAGCACACAACAGGTGCATGATAAACATATCTGAATGAACGGATAGGTAAACAAAGTACAAGAAAAAATGAAAACATCACAGCACCACCAATCCAGGACTATGAACACCATGAGGCCATAGGTAGAAATTGCTCCTAAGAATCCTCCTCTATTGTGTTGGAGTCCTTGTCTCGGTGGTTCACTCCATCCGCTGGTTCACTCCCCAGATTGCTGCAATGGTACCAGTTTGGCCAGGCTGAAGCCAGGAGCCAGGAGCTTCTTGCAGGTCTCCCGAGTAAGTGGCAGGGATTCAAGCACTTGGGCCATCCTCTGTTGCTTCCCTGACCATTAGCAGCAGCTGGATTGGGAGTGGACCCACTGGGACACGAATCAGTTACATATAAGATGCTGGTGTTGCAGGCAGAGACCACCTGCTATGCCACAACGCAGGCCCCAAGGATGCAGGCATCTTAAGTGGCGGCTTAACTGCTGTGCCAAATGCCCCCTCCCCCTTTTTTTCTTATTCAACTATATTTAGTAGCTACTTTGTGCCGTGATCTGAGCTGGATTCTGGTAATGGAATAAAATGTAAGACAGGGACTTCCCTGCTGCCCACGCCTGGATGCTTCCTGCAGAGGACAGAGCCCACTTCCTAGAATCCTTCCTTGTCAATGTTCCCAGTCATCTTTGGTCATGGGAAAAGCTGATCTTCCTGCCACATAACACCAGACAGCAGTCACTCAACACACTTGATTGGTGGCGTCCACCTAGGTGGGGTGGAGGTCACTGTTCCCTCTTCCCCGAGAGCCTTGTCTGACTCACCTTTCCTCCCTTAGGAGTTTGTTCAGGTGATGCTTCCTGGGGACAGACTTTCTGTTGAATCGCTGCTTTATTTTCTTCACAGCGCTTGCCAACATCCCAAATGATTGTATTCATTTAATCCTTTGCATGTTTATAGCCCTTTATCTTTCTAGAATGTAACCTTCATGAGGTCATGGACCATATATTTTTCTATCATCTCTATTGTCTACCTTTCTATCTACCTATCAATATGTTTTTATCTATGTCATCGTTTATATCTATCTATTCATTCATCATCTAAGTATAGTTGCCCTTTTCATAGTTGGCACCCGTTGCCCAGACCAGCAGTGGTGTATCGTGGTTGGTCCGTATAATCTTGTGGTTGAACGTTTTTGTGGTCTGTGTCTAAAGTCCCAGAGGCTTCTCTGGGCATCTCTCAGAGTTTCCAGGAGGTGGGTTTTTCTGTTGCAGGTTGATAAGGCATTCACCTGACAATAGTCAAAGAAATCAACCATAACCATAGGATTGACAGTGTCCTTTTAAGAGCTGGCATGAAACATTTGATAAAAATACAGAGAGAAATCAGAGCACAATGAATCATATTTGGGAGAAAATCTCTTTTGAAAAGCCCAGGGTAGGTCATGTTTTTTTCATGCTTGTCAACTTGGCTGAATAATTTGCTTAAAATAAATGGACGAGAATGGTAAGTTGCTATGTAAGGGGAACGAAACAGACTCCTGGCTCCGTGCACAACACGTCTCAGGCTCTGAAGGGTCTGGCTTGGGTGGTGGTGAGCTTTGTGGGTGGGGAGGGGGGATGGCGTGTGCGGTGAAACAGGTTCAGTGTCTTCTTGGCTTCCGCACAAGATTTCTGGGGCATCAGCACATTAGCCAATTTCCAAGGCAAACAGATTTGATCCATCACTGATGCTGACAAAACCTCTGCATCTAAGATGTGTCAGGTTCTCAAACATAAGCCAAATGAGTTAATATCTTCTCATTGTCGTCTTTATTAAGCCTTTGTTAAGCCGATCTTGGATAATGATGTGTCTCTGTCAGAGGTCTTTTAATAAAGTGAGCGTTCCTTTACATAACCTCTCTGGGGAGGACTCGTAGCGCTGGAAGTGCAGGGAACTACAATGTTCAAATTGTGAGTGACGAGGCCAATCCCCAAGGTGCCAGGCCCCGGGAACCACTCAATACTTGTGGTGCAAGCTTCCCAGGCACCATGCACGGGCAGCCAGAGTTGGATGTCCTTGAGACCACAGAGGGAGAGGATGTTTTGGTGACAGGGACGAGGCAAGTTAGTGCCAACATAACCACCATGCAGAATTCAGTTCTCTACTTGGTGCCAATGCTATGGCTGAAGGACAAATGGAAAAAAGTTACATAGACTGGCCCCATACCCTCTGCCTCCACCCGTCTATAAAGAGGGATCGGAGGCTCAGGGAACCCCACACTTGGTTTACTGGCAGTTCAAAGCTTGCTCACTAGGTCTTCCCTGCCAAAGCAGACCATGGATGCCAAAATCATCGCTCCTCTCTCCTTTTGCTGAAAATCCCCCTTGCTGTCATGTTGCAAACTAATTTATACTAACATATTAGTAACGTAATTGTCAGGTCTGACAGTGGCTCCTGTTGATCCCTGCTTCCTGGCTCTTACAGCCCTATGTAATCATGTTCCCTTGAGTAACTTGGTTTTATGCAACAGAATGCCTCCACATTGAGGGTGTGTCACATCCACGAAAAGATAACAAAAGGCGACTTCTGGAACTCTGGTGGGCTGTCTCTGCCGCTTTCTCAGTGTGTGCCCTTTGGGTGAAGCAAGGAGCTTTGCAAGGAGCTGAGTTTGGCTTCCGGATAACAGATGGCAGCAGACAGAAGCTCCCAGCCCAATAATCCACAAGGAACTCAACCCGACCAGCAACCCTGTGAGTTTGCAAGTTGATCCTTCCCTGATGAACTTTCAGATGAGACCACAGCCTTGGCTGAAGCCCCTGGCCCTGCCTGATGCCCAACTGTCACTCTTTGAGTGGGGTAGGGGAGCCTTACACAGCTAAGCTGTACCCAGATTCCTGATGCCCGGGAGCCGTGAGACACTGAGTGGCAGTTGTCTTAAACCACCAAATTGGTGATCATTTGTGGTGTAGCAATAGATGACTTGTCCATCTGACAAAGGTTTCATGGCTGCTTGTTCTGGCTGATAGTTCATTCCAACACGCATCGGCACCTTGACCGAAGAGTGCCTCTCTGATGGTGAGTCACAGTGGTAGGAGGCTGGGCCATGCAGTACATGGAACACTATTAGCAGGGATTGTGGGGGTGTCTTTTCGAGCTGATTCTTTTTTAAAAAAGATTTATTTTATTTATTTGAAAGACAGAGTTACAGAGAGAGGTAGAGACAGAGAGAAAGGTCTTCCATCTGCTGGTTTACTTCCCAGATGGCCACAACAGCCAGAGCTGCGCCGATCCGAAGCCAGAAGCCAGGAGCCAGGAGCTTCCTCTGGTTCTCCCACGCAGGTGCATGGGACAAGCACTTGGGCCATCTTCTACTGCTTTCCCAGGCCATAGCAGAGAGCTGGATGGGAAAGGAGCAGCCAGGACTAGAACCGGCGCCCATGTGGGATGTCAGTGCTTCAGGCCAGGGCTTTAACCCGCTGTGCCACAGCACCGGCCCAGAGCTGATTCTTGAGATTGCTCACTTGTGTGGATCTCTGTCTCTTGCTTGCTCCTCTCTGAAGGCCTCCGTGAGTGAAGTCAGGCCGTCACCCAAGACTACCATCTTGTTCTGCTTTTTTGGCTTTCATGCTGATGGGTGTCTGAACAGCCATTTCCTCCATCCATTTGGCACTTGCTAGTCTGTGAGCTCTTTCTCTTTTCCTTGTAAAGCAATGCCCCCCCCCTTCAAAATGGAAAGGCACACTCTGACCAAGCCATCTGCCAGGGAGGTCAGGAGCATTGGCCTTCGGTGCCACATTCTCTGTTTGTCATGCTTTTCCCTTCCTAGCAGTGTGAGATAATCTCTCAGTGTCTCAGCTTCTTCACAGCTAAACAAGGTTAAAAGCAGGCCATTTTCCAAGTTGTTATAAAGATGAAATGTAAATCTCTCAAAAGGCAGCATTGAGTACTCAGTAAATACTAAGTAAAAAGTACAGATTCATTAACCATTAGGGGTTAAAATGGTGTTAACGAATTCTCTCCTGGACGCCTGGGTTGTTCTTGAGGCTCTGATAATTGAATTTGGGTCTCACTTCTGGACCTGCATCTTGTCTCAAGGTCATGGCTTTTTCACAGAGATGAGGCTGTCCCTGTGACCCAAGGCTGCTGTCAGAGCTTTCCAGAACCTTCCAGAACACCCCACTTTCCTTCTTATTGGATGTCAGAAGGAACCGGAACCTCGTTCCAGCTCCACCTCTCCCCTCTGCAACTCAACTACATCTTTTCTCCTTTGCAGACCTCCGTTTCCTGATCCGTGAGATGGGACTAAAGAAAACCAACTATTTTGATGGGACTGCAGTGAGAGCTAAAGGGATGAGAATTTCAATTTGAATGAGGCCAAAGGTCAGGGAAGCCTCAAGGAGGAGAAGGAAGAAGCATAAAAGAAAGTCCCCAGGCTCTGGACCTCTGGGTCCCGTTCATTTCCAGGCCCAGAGCACAGAGGCACTTGGTAGATGCTTGTGGAATGAATGTCCAGGTAGGAACATGAGTGAATGGGTGTCCACAACTCACGCATGATGGAGTCCCTTGGAATACAGAGACCTGGTGGCCTGAGAAATAATGACCTGGCCATTGGGCTTCCATTCGAGCCTGGACTCAAGCTAGGTTCCTGCCATGCTGAGGTCATGGTGTGATTTTTATTCCAGCTACAACCTGTGGGTGTCAGGGGCCCCTTGGGCAGTGGGTGAGCCAGACTGATTGCCCAAGGCCAGTCAGCATGCTCTGGAGTAAGTTAACAGGTGGCCATTCTGATGATGATCTCTGCTTGGGCTCATCACTCAGGAGCCAGGGTGTAAGATCTTGGAGTGTCCAGGTGACAGTCCAAGGTCAGAGGGAAGGGTGCCCTGGAAAGCCATGGGTTAGGACCTGACAGGGAGTCTCCTTAGTTCCTGTGGGGATTCCAGGCAGACACAGGCCTTGTCACACTGAAAGGCACCGTGTGACTTCCCAGAGATGGACCAGTGGTCCTGAGAGGGTAGAGGTCTTGGCTGGTTTGGCTGGGTCCTTGGTATTTGGAGCTGGGAGTGGGTCAGGGATGAATGAACAAATAAATAAGTGAATAAAAAATGCAAGGGAGGGTATGCAGGAAGACTGCATTGGTGTTCTGGAAAGATCCCAGACTGTAACTAGAAGACCAACGTCATGTGTGAACCTGAGCCAAACACTCCCCTTCCTCCAATCCTTGATTTCATTCTCTGTAAGGAAGGAGGTCAACTCAGACTGGGTCTCACAGTGGAGGCCCAGGCAGTACCTCAGATCCTGAATGTGTTTAGTTTGGCCAGCACTGCGTTTTCATAATATAAAATTTTAATATATTTTGACAGGGCACACACACTGTCCAGTTGTCCACAGTGGCACCTCTTGCTAGGATTGAATTACGTTTATGTGACCTGCTTAGTCCCCAAGGGCATCTGGATTTGCTGGCATCAGAAGCCTCCATGCACCTACTTGACTTTGAAATGCTAGGATTCTATTAACAGAAAGACAGTCATGCAATAAAATAAGAAACAGAGGAGAGGGAGAGAGAGAGAGAGAGAGAGGAGAAAGGGAGATGAAAAAGAAGAGGAGTGTGGGATAAGAATAGGAAGAAGCAGAGTTATGTTCTAAAGATTTGCCCCAACCTGCCCTTGGGCCAAAAGCAAAGCCATGGTTGCCTGAGAAGGAAACAGCATCAAAAGAAAGAAGTAGGGGCAGGCATATGGCACAGTGTTTATGATGTCACTGGAGACATCCTCATGCCGTATAGGAGCACTTCAGTCTGAGTTCCCACTCTGTTTTGAACATGCAGCTTCCCAGTAGTCAGCAAGTGATGGCTCAAGTACTTGGGTCTTTGCCTTCCACATGGCAGACCCAAATGGAGTTCTGTGTTCCTGGCTTCAGTGTGAACCAGCCCTAGCTGCTGTGAACATTTGGAGAGTAAACCAGAGGATGGAAGATCTCTCAGTATCTCTCTCTCTCTCTCTCTCTCTCTCTCTCTCTCTGTTTTTCAGAAACAAACAAATAAAAAAGCAAAACTTTTGAAAAAGAGAAAGAATTAAACCCTGGTCTGAGAGGCACCCCATTCCCTGGGCTCCCGTACACTGCCCAGGAAGCCTGACCATGGCTGGGTCCAGGAATGCACTCTACCTCCTTTGAAGCAATCCTTCAGATACCAGTCACTTCGGGGAATGGCACAGAGCCTGGCTTTGGGGCTCCTTGTGGTCCCAGGGGACCAGGCTGTTTCCACCTCCAAACCCAGGAGGAGCCCAAGGTTGGAAGGGGCAGGGCCCAGAGGTTCTGCAGCGCTGGCCATGGTGCTGAATTATTAATGTGCATTTCAGTTATCCTTCGGTTCAGCAGAAATATGACAAAGCAATCTCAGATAATGAAATCACCCACACTTTCTGCTGTTCACAGCAAGTTTTCTGGGGGCAAATTTTGCCCCCACCTTCACAGCACTGATTGAGTTACATGTTTATGGGAGGGGGTGTGACTCCCCGTGTTATTGATTGCTGTGTAGTACATAGATTACAGTGACCTGAGGATCTGTCTTTCAGTGGGTCAGTGACTGTTCATGGCCAGCCCAAGGAAGAGGAACTTTTAAACAACAAACAACTGTCATTTCTAAGAGGGTCCCTGGGGGTGTCAGGAGGCCATGCTGTTCTGGTCTGGCCTGAAACATCTTCATTTTTCTCCTTGTTCCTCTCTCTCAATCTACCTGTCACTGAACCTTCCTACTCTGGGTGACATTTAAGAGATCATCTAAGTACTTTGTTATGGAGGGAAAGGGACTGCTAGGGCTAGCGTGCTTTCTTTTCAAACCTCCCATCTTTCTTCTCTGCCATCTCTCTACAACCATTTGATTTAAAAAATTCAGAATCTAAGCAATTGGAAAACTAAAATTACAGTCAATTAGCAAGAAATTCCAGGATGCTAAATCAGGTAGACTTACCAATAGGCTGAGTCTAGCACCATCACATTCTCTTTGCTCATGGTGATCAAATCACCTCTGTGAGAGTTTAAACTTTGACTTCAGTTGCCTGCATTTAAAAATTGAAAACATCACATTAAAATACAGAGATATGGCTTCCCTTGGATTATCAGATGATCTGGCTATCCTAAGCTCACATAGTAACAGTTGTCCAGTGTTGAAATTTGAGTGTCAGTGTATTTATGTTTTTCCCAGTCCTTTGAACCTTGGCAGTGAATGCAACTTTATGAAAAATGGCAATTTAGTGAATTAGTGTATGCATTTCCTGATGCCAAAAGGAAAACAGAAGAACTGGGTGAATTTTGCCAGAAATACAAGTGGGATTCATGTAACAATGTCCCTTAAGTTGCTTGGCTTCAAAGTATTACTTCATCTTGAAATATTCATAGCTGGCTAACTGTTGTTTTCAGATCTTCAACTACTCTAATCTAAAACACTCTTTATGGAAGATAAGGCCATCGCTACCGAAGGAATAAAATGCTTCCCCAGGTCACAGTGGAGAGACCAGATCAATGTCACCCCAGGATGGAGGTGAAATCAAGCTGAGTGTGATGGACAGGGAGCAGACAGGTGCGCTCTGCGGAGCTTCTGTGGGCCAGGCTGTGCCTCAGCTCCCATGGTGACCTTGGGTACTGTTTGGTACTTGTCAGTTGTTAGGTAAAGCTGTTGGATGCTATTTGGGGTTTGTGTATTATGCCATTTATATTGAGTTTGGGGATGTCCTCAATGCTGCTTTGACTCCATTATCCAATCCTTGTGAATTAACCATGGGCTCTCTCTTCCTTTCAGCTCCATTGCGTTCCTTATGCTGGTGACGCTTTTGTCTACCTCATTTGAGCCCTGTTCGGTCTTGGGTTGGAGTCAGGACTGAGCAGTTGCTTTGAGTTGAGGCCAGGTTTGTGGGTCACCATGTCTGCCTCCACCCCATGGAATGTGAGGGTCAGATGCCAACAACTACATAAAACATCACACTTTCAAAACCTGGACTGGATCCTTGGCTCTTCAACATTTAATACCCTAAAAATAACTCTGGCAGGCAATCAGACACACACCAACAGAAGACAACAACCACACACAAAAAAATTAGTAGATAAATCAGTGCTCTCATTGGAAGTCATCTGGTCCAGCCCTCTGCCTCTTGCAGATTGTCTCGGGCTCTGTCTCAGAATGGTAGAAACCTGCTCTCTTTATCAGGCCTTGTCCACTGTCTCTTCCACCAGTGTCCCCATGGGCATGGCAGGGGCAGACACATTGTTCTGACAGCACAGCCCTTTGGCTTGCCTTTGGGCTGGGAGCTTCCAGCTGGTCTCTCAGAAGCCCCTCGTCTCGCCCTCCCCTCCCTGGCAAATGTCTCTTTAATACTTGCCCATGATCAGCTTCCTAGAGCACCCAGAGCTTTTATTTTCTCCCCACGCACATTATCTATTTGTCCAATTCATCCCGAAATAGCCAGGCCCAGCCATCCCATAATACCCAGTTCCTGTGTCACTCAACACCGGCCCGGCAGGAGCTCCGAGCTCTTCTTCCTGTCCCTTTCTCTTCTTTAATAAGCGCACCCGGGCTTCCGTCAATGCCTTTCCTCCGGATTCATGAGTTTGCTGCTTCTGCAGCAGCGGCAGATCCTGGCAGATAAATCTCCCCTGGAGCTGTCAGCACAGGCAGAGGGGAGCGGCTGAGCCAGCCTGGGGCGGGGGGTGACTGTGGAGATGCCGGATTTATCACCACCCGGTCCCACTGGGTGCCCTCTCCTTGACCTTCAGGGTGACCCAGAGGCCAGTGTTTGGTTTTTGCTGGGAGGGATCCAGAAGTCAAAGGTGCTCCCCTCCCCAGCCCTCGTCCTTGGTGACAGATGAAGAGCCCGGCCCAGGGACATGGGAGGTGAGGGGCCCTTTGGCTCCCCAAGGAAGGTGTGACCGTGCTGCTGGCCTCATGGAGGACTCACTGCCACTGCCACCGAGGGAAGCATGCTGATTTCTAGCTGCCCTCAGGGTCACTCTGGGTTAATTTTAGCTGCTTCCATGCCCCCCAGATGGGCCACACATTTTTCCTCCTTAACCACGTCCGAGGCTCTCCTCCCGCGCAGCCTCAGCGCCTTCCCAAGCACAATTGAGACATGTGCTTATGACAGTGTTTCCATGAAGACAGATCGCTCTCCCTCCAAGGTCAAAGCTCCCGCTGGCCAGGCTCTTCAGCAAACAATTCGTCAAACAGGGCAGCGGGCAGCAGGCAGGCAGCTCTCAGGCCCCTGGCTGGTGGATGCATCAGAAAACCTTTCAGAGCCTTGTTGGGCCCTACAGAACTTCCTCCCTCATGCTGTCTGTCGGTGCCTCCCCTGCCGCCCCTCCGGCGCCCCCCAGCACAGGGGGATGAGTTGGCACAATACCGGGAATGATGACAGGGACCCCAGAAGGCAAAACAAATCGTCCTGCAGAAATTGGGAGATTTCTCAGCCATTGTACAAGGCAAGAATCATGGTTCCTCATGGGGTTTAAAGTGCAGAAGAGGGAAGATCACATGCTGTGCCTGTCTGTTTGCTTGTCTGGCTCACAGCACACCCGCAAGGAGCATCTGAACCCAGCACAGTGGCTGGCACCCAGTGGGCGCTCCTTTAATGCCTTTATCCGTTTGTTTACCAACTGCTTATTACACTCCTGCTATTACTCTGGCACATGAGCCCTGTCCTCCTGGAACCCACAGTCTTGGGGACAGGGTCAGACAATAAGGAAGTAAAAGAAATAAATGGGAGTGAAGGGACTGTGGGGAGTGTGACAGAGGTTACTATGGGGTTCCCAATGATTCTGCTTCCTCGTAGGTAGCCTTGCCTTGGTGGATTGTTCTTCCTGTGGTGTGGAATGGGGCCAGTGATCATTTCTAAAGAACACAACAAGTGAAATAAGCCAGACACAGAATGACAAGTGCCATATTTTCTCACGCATGTGTAAGTTATCGATATGATTCTAAAACAGTGATGGGTGGGATGCTGGTATGGGGGAGATCTGACAGTGGGCAAAGGCAATGGGTCTGGGGTTCCACAGAACAGTAGGGCAGCTGTAGTCTTTGATAAAAGAAATGCAGAGGCTAGTTGCATACAATGATTGCTTTATATCTCTTGTATATCTGCCGAAATATGGTACTGTACCCCATAGTGTCCAGGTATTTCATGTTGACCCAGAGATTTATTTAAAAATAAAAAAGTAAATATAAATAAGCACAGGATGTGGCTAAAGTGATGGGATACCACTTCTAAGATGATAAAAGTATGATTTCTCTCTGGCTTGTCACCTCTCCCTCTCTCTTTCTTTCTCTCTCTCTCTCTTTCTCTCTCTCTCCTTCTCTGATGGCAGCCATATCAGGTGCACAAGCCCTACCAGAGGTCCAAGTGCTGACAAATGAGCTGATGTCTGCAGGCGAGAACCAGCAAGGACTTGAGGCTGGTCGGCAGCCACATGAATGAGCTTGGAGATGACCCCAGCCTTGGCCAGCGCCAAGAGGCCCTAAGCAGAGGACGCAGCTCAGTCCACATGGATCCTTGATCCCATGGAGACTGTAAGAGGGTGAATGTTTGTTTGTAAGCAACTCCATTTGGGGATAATTTTTAAGTGCATGGATTTGATTACCAACACAGGTGTCAAATGGAGTTTTCTGATGCGAGATTTACAGAGGAGACCCTGCTTCCTTAAGTGCAGCGGCCAGGAAGGGCCTTCCGAGGGCAACGTGTGTATGGTGAGGATTGAAGGACTAGGAGCCCCATCTCCCATAAAGGTAGGATAGCACCCCAGGTGCGGGGAGCAGCCCGTGTGGATGCTGTCCCGCAGGAAAGGGGACAAGAGTCGAGGCTGGAGAGTCGTACCCAGGCCCCTGCCGGCCCTTTCATTCTCACTGTCCTCACATCTCAGCTCAGTGTTGAAAAGCAGGCAGGAGTGTCCCCATCACATCACTGAGGCAGAGTGCTGTCAGATCACCCAGCCGGGGAGGAGCAGGGCTTAGATTCAAGTGCGGGTTTTCTGAGTCTGGAACCCGTGTGATTTTTCGCCTCTCAGAATCAGCCATTTCCGGGCACATCTGCTCCCCTGCGCTGATGCAGCTCACCATTCGGAGGCAGCGATGCTGGCCGCTCACGTCCTGGCCGAGGCTTTCCTTAAGTGTTCATCATAGAGACTCAGCCAGGCAGCTGGGGCTGGGGATGGGGTGGGGGCGGAGGAAGGGCTTGTTACTTTGTACCCATTCAAGACCAGAAAGTGAAGTCTAGCCAGGGTAAGTGACAAGCACAAGGTGTTTTGGGTCCCAGCCATCCACGCGGGAGACGCCCGGATGGAGTTCCTGACTCTTGGCATCCGGCTGTGAGTTCTGCTTGTTGTGGGCATTTGGGCAATGGGAGCTCTGTCCATCTGTCTGTCTGTGTCTCTTGCCTTTTCAAATAAAATGGAAGTAAATAAATAAGTATTTTGAAAAACTCGATTTTTAGGGATCATTGTTGCTCAGTTCTTGGCACTTACATATACTGCAAAGCTTGCCCAGCTGCTGAATCTGGGCTCATTATTTATGCCACATGAATGTCTTTAACTCCATGGTTTTCACCATTGACTTTGTTTCAATGAGTAGACTTTCTGCTTTATTGCTCGTAAGAGCTTAAGAAATGACCAAAACTTGCAGGACTACTTGTATCTCTCAATTCAAGCAATTTACCTTTTATTGAGCTTCTGAACTTTCACCATCATTTTTTAAAAAGATTTTATTTATTTATTTGACAGGTAGAGTTACAGACAGTGAGAGAGACAGACAGAGAAAGGTCTTCCTTCCTTTGGTTTACTCCCCAAATGGCCACAATGGCTGGAGCTGCACCGATCCGAAGTCAGGAGCCAGGTGCTTCCTCCTGGTCACCCATGTGGGTGCAGAGGCCCAAGCACTTGGATCATCTTCCATTGCTATCTCAGGCCATAGCACAGAGCTGGACTGGAAGAGGAGCAATCGGGACTAGAACTGGCGTCCATATGGGATGCCAGCGCCGCAGGCGGAGGATTAATGCAGTGCACCACGGTGCAGCCCCTACCATCATTTTTTTTTTTTTTTAGGATTTGTCCTATTTATTTGAAAGAGTTACACAGAGAGGTAGAACGAGAGAGAGAGAGAGAGAGAGAGAGAGAGAGAGAGAGAGAGAAGCTTTCCTTCTACTGGTTCACTCCCCAGTTGGCTACAATGGCCAGAGCTGGGCTGATCTGAAGCCAGGAGCCAGGAGCTTCTTCCAGGTCTCTCACATGGGAGCAGGGGCCTAAGGACTTGGGCCATCCTCTGCTACTTTCCCAGGTGCATTAGTAGGGAGCTGGATCAGAAGTGGAGCAGCTGGGACTGGAACTGGTGCCCATATGGAAATGCCGGCACTGCAGGCTGGGGCTTTACCTGCTACACCACAGCGCCAGCCCCCTCTCAGCATCCTTTTACTTTTAATTTACACATGGCTTGCACAGAGCTGTCAGATTTTCTTGTCCCAGTTAGGGGTCACCTGCTGTGCTCTTGCATGGCACCCCATTATCTCCTCCTCAGCTCTTACCACGTGTGTAACTATACACAGTTGTCTCCCAGAGTCCATGGGGGAGATGGGTCTCAGGACCCCTGTAGACGCCTGTGGATGCCCAGGTCCATTACACAGTGCAGTATTTTCGTGGAACCCCCACGCATCTGCCCCATACATCTCCAGATGACTTCCCTCAATATGAATGCCATATAAACAGCTGCTGTGCTGTGTTGTTGACACTGTGTGATGACAACACAACACTGGTACATGTTCAGCACAGATGCAAGTTTCTGGAATATGTTTGAGTCATAGTTGGCTGACTATGTAAACGCAAGACCCTCAGACACAGAGGGCTAAGTGTGTTAGCTCAGGGGTCAGCTAACTCAGTGTCCATCTCCCCCACTCAGCTGCAAGTCCTCTGCCGGCAAAGCGAGCCGACTTGGAGCTGACTGTTGGATCTCTGTCTAGGGAACGGTGGGGACCCAGTGCATTTTGTTGAATGAGAAGGACGCAATCTCACCCATCACAAAGGTCTGTGTAGAAAAGCCGCTGGACCGTAGGCCAGGGTCAGTTGGGAGGGGTGGGAGCGGCATCTCACTAGAACAACTCGGATACAGCAATAGGCCAGGGTCAGATGGGAGGGGTGGGAGCGGCATCTCACTAGAACAACTCGGATACAGCAATGGCAATCACATAGCAATGAGTATTTACTGAGCACTTATTTTTTTCCAGGTTTTAAGTATGTTAATTTGTTTGAAACAATAGTTTAGACACAGTTATTTTAATACAGATTTTTTTCACATGTAGATGATGAGGTGAATTGTCCTGGTTTGCTTGAGATTGTCCAGTTTTTTGTTTTGGAAGCAGGATGGAGAGAGAGAGAGAGAGAGAGAGAGATTGATTGATTGATTGATTTCCCATCTGCTGGTTCATTCCCCAAGTGCCTGCATCAGGCAGGTCTGAGCCAGGCTGAAGTCTGGAACCTGGAACTCAGTCTGGATCTCCTACATGGATGGCAGGGACTGAAGTACCTTAGCTATTAGCGGCTGCTGTGCAAAGTACAGGAAACTGGAATCAAAATTTGAGCTGGGACTTGAATCAAGCACTGATATGGGATGTGTGTGTCCCCACTAACATCTTTTGTTTTTTAAAGATGTATTTATTTATTTGAAAGTCAGAGTTACACAGAGAGAGGAGAGACAGAGAGAGAGAGAGATTGAGAGAGAGAGAGAGAGATATTTCCATCTGCTGGTTCACTCCCCAATTGGCCTCAATGGCCAGAGATGAGCTGATCCAAAGCCAGGAGCCAGGTGCCCCTTCCAGGTCTTCCTTGTGGGTGCAGGGGCCCAAGGACTTGGGCCATCTTCTACTGCTTTCCCAGGACATACCAGAGAGCTGGATTGGAAGTGGAGCAGCCAGGGTTTTGTTTTTTTTTTTTTTCAGCCAGGTCTTGAACCGGCACCCATATGGGATGTCAGCACTTCAGGTTAGAGCATTAACCTGCTGTGCTACAGTGCTTCCACCTCCCCCCCCCCCCAACAACATCTAAACCACTGCTTCAAATATCTGCCTTGGGATTGTCTAGTCTTTTTTTTTTAAGTTTTTATTTATTTATTTATTTGAGAGGCAGAGTTACAGACAGAGAGAGGGAGAGACAGAGAGAGAGAGAGAGAGATCTTCCATCCACTGGTTCACTTCCCAAATGGCCGCAATGGCTAAAGCTGAGCCAATCCAAAGCCAGGAGCCAGGAGCTTCTTATAGGTCTCCTACTCAGGTGCAGGGGCCCAGGTACTTGGGCCATCTTCTACTGCATTCCCAGGCTGTAGCAAACAGCAATATCAGAAGAGGATCAACCGGGACTCAAACTGGTGCCCATATGTGATGCCGACACCACAGCTCCAGGCCCCAAATGGTCTAGTTTTAAAACTGAAAGTCTCTAACCTTCCAGAAACCAGCCCTCAGGCTCAGGCCAAGCAGGATGGTTGGTCATAGTGGTGCGGGAAAACAGCCTGCGCACTGTAGCAAAAAAGATGGGATTTATAAGAGTGAGGAGAGAGAAGAGCAAGATAAAAAACAGCAGCAACCTGGGAACAGTGAATCTTGTCCGCATCTGGCCGTGTGTGTGGGTTGGGGGCGGTGGGGGTGGCTAAACTGATGAGTTAGCAACCAGCGAAAGCCATGCCGCGCCTCCTGTCCTTGAGCAGAACGGAGGGGTGTTGGAGGAGGCAGTTTCAGCTTGTTCTGGTTTCTCCAGGAAACCCCGAGTGGAGCTGTGCACGGGGTGTGTCTCGTGGGCTGGGTCCTCGTAGCAGCGCCCACACCAGGCCTTCACCGTCCCCCTTCTGGGGATTTCTGAATGGAGGGTGCTCAGTACTGCGGCTTTGGGAACACAAGCAGGAGCCCTCAGCTCCGAGATGAAGCAAGAAGAATCCTCAGGCCGGCACCGCGGCTCACTAGGCTAATCCTCCACCTAGCGGCGCCGGCACACCGGGTTCTAGTCCCGGTCGGGGCGCCGGATTCTGTCCCGGTTGCCCCTCTTCCAGGCCAGCTCTCTGCTGTGGCCCGGGAGTGCAGTGGAGGATGGCCCAAGTGCTTGGGCCCTGCACCCCATGGGAGACCAGGAGAAGCACCTGGCTCCTGGCTTCAGATCAGCGCGGTGCGCCGGCCGCAGCGTGCCAGCCGTGGCGGCCATTGGAGGGTGAACCAACGGCAAAAGGAAGACCTTTCTCTCTGTCTCTCTCTCTCACTGTCCACTCTGCCTGTCAAAAAGAAAAAAGAAAAGTAAAAAAAAAAAAAAAAAAAGAGATCCTCAGCCGGGAGGGAAAGAATTGATTTTCCCTGCATTCCATATAAGATGCTTCAGCCCTCAGTCCCTGCCCCCAGGGAAAGGTCACTTTGGGTCATCAGAACGTTCGTGGAAAAGCTGGAGGGCAGTTTCTGGAACTGTGATCCCTCGAGGCAGCTCTGTGCAATCCCCCCAGGGCTGGTGGAAGAGGACAGCATGAAAGAAGATTCTAGACACAGGGACCCTTGGCTGCAGAAACACTGTGCTGCCAGAAGTGTGAGAACTAAGTTCTCAGTGAACGCAAAATACATGCCGGACGAGGGATCATCCCAGCTGTCACAAAGCATGATCCCCTTTGCTGCTCCCCAAAGCTCTGGCCTTGCCTAGGACATTCCTCATCCTGGGCTTCGATCATTCAAATCCATACCTTTAAAGGAAAAAACTGACAATTATAGTTGCATATATTTATGGGGTGCAAAGCATGAGTTTTGGATGCAATACAGAATGATTGACCAAGCTAAGTAGCGTAGTTGTCTCCCCAAAGACTTCACATTTTTGTTATGATCCAAGTTTGAAATTTTAACCTCTTGGAAAAGTTTCAATGTGCAACACTCCATCACTAATTATATTCATCATGCTTGCAATTGACTTCAAAAAAAAAAAAAAAAAAAAGCTAAGCTGACTCCTCCCACCTGAGGCATTGACTATGGCCTCTCATTCTCCTCCCTCCCTAGCCTCTGTTCCGGAACCACCTTTCTTTTCTCTGCTTCTGTGAGTTCGGTTGTTTGAGGTTTCACACACCAGCACACAGTATTTGTCTCGTGTTTAGCTTATTGCACTTAGTGTACCGTACTCTGAGTCCATCCATGCTGTTGCAAATGACAGAATTTGTTCATTCCTAGGCTGAATAGTATCCTGTGGTGTATACGGGATTACCATTGTATACAGCATTGTCTTTATCTGTGCATCCCTTGATGGACGCTTGCATTGATTCTACAACTTGGCCATTGTGAACAGCACTGCAGTGGGCCTAGGGATGCAGATGTCTCTTTGACACACTGATTTCAGATCTTTGTTCTTTATCCACTCTTCTCTGTTTGTGCATCAGTGCGTATTAATCCCTCTATTCTCACGTACTTGGGGGTTCAGTGTTTCCTTGACCTGGGTGTGCAGTTCCTCCTCATTCTTGTAAGCTTTTACCACATGCTCAGGATTGCACTGAACACTCTGGGCCCGAAGGCTCCCTGCTTAGGGAGCCCTCCTTCCCCCTAGGGTGACAGATCCCTCTGCCGTGACCCAAACCACAGCAGCAGGTCCTGGGTGATGTCTACTTTGGAACGTTGGTCACCCCAGTTCCACCAGGAGGTCCTGAATGTACCCTGGAGCCATTGGGAGGCTCAGCAGAGAGTCCATGGGCCTTCCTGCCTCCGGCGGCTGGGCTCTTGTGCAAGTTCTGCAGGATGGGCTGGCCCCAAAGCGGCTCTTCCCCGGAGTGTCACGGGGAAGGGCAACTCTTCACTTCTCATTTTTGTTGACGCTATTTGAAAGGTAATGACAGAAGCTGGTGGAATCTTTTTTTTTAATTTATTTATTTGAAAGTCAGAATTACACACATACACACACACACACACACACACACACAGATCTTCCATCCTCTGGTTCACTCCCCAAATGGCCACGATGGCTGGGCCAGGCTACAGCTAGGAACAAGGAGCTTCTTCCAGTTCTCCCATGTGAGTGCAGGGGCCCAAACACTTGGGCCACCTTCTGTGGTTTTCCCAGGCTTCCCAGGCTCTTTAGCAGGGAGCTAGATTGGAAGTGGAGCAGCTGGGACTTGAACCAGCGCCCACTTTGGATGCTGGCATGGCAGCTGGTGGCTTAATCCTCTCTGCCACAATGTCGACCCCAGAAGCAGGTGGAATCTCACAGTGGACCGCCTGTCCACACACTCCCAAGATTTTGGAGGCTCCGCACATAGGAGTCTGCACTTCTCTCACATTTTTCAGAATTACCTACAGGAAATCAGGCCAAAAGTAAGGTCAGGGACCACACAACAAAACTCCAAGGAGGGGTGGCCAAGACCAGGGGTCCCTCCTGCCTGTGATCGGCTGAGCGCTCGTCAGAGCTTCAGACCAGTCCTGGGCTGGGTGTCAAGGGTGGCCCATGAGGGGAAAAGCAACAACCAGGGCTGTGCCCCTAAGAGGAGTGGGAAAATAACATGCACCCCAAAACAGCCAGACCTCGGGTGGCATTGACACAACGCTTCACCACTCTCTGAGTGTTCTTACAATGCTGTCCTCCTCTGAACCTCACCTGGGCTGAGCGAGGAAGTGGGATATTCTTCCTTCCATTTTTACGTAGGAGGACAGTCCCACAGCAGGTAGGGAGCCGCGTCGGGATTTGATCCAGGGCTGCTTGCTTCCAGATGTGTGTGCACCCTCATGTGTGGCAGGGGAGGGCAGGCTCCGGCCTCCTTAGGTGGGGGTTGTGGGAGCTGGAAAGAGGGCAGCATGGCACAGACAAAGAGGCCTTGCTGGAGTTTCCTTGGGCGGTGGGGCCAGGACTGGTCATGGATTGACCCTCTCTTTCACCTGCCAGCCTCCTTCCCAAAGCAGGAAGTCTGTCCCACCTGCCAGCCCTCACTCCTGCCTGGGGAAACGGGGAATGTCTTTTACTCTTCAGCAATATCAAGACCCAGGCAGGAGACCTACACGGCTCCAAGAATTTATTCATTCAACAGGCGGCTTTGCCTAAGAGCAGAAATAAGAACTGACATGGAGTCCTCTCCATGGGTAAATATAATTAGCCTGGCTATTATGTGCCAAATCCTCCCTAAGCCCCCACGCTCAGACGGCTAAAGGAACCTGCTGGCCCTGGGTGACTCTCGAAACTCAGAACCTTTGCTGGAGCTATTGTAATTTGATTTATCTCAGAAACAAGCCAATGTTACAAGGCTGGGTTTGCAATTTCAATATGCAGAGATTAATTTACATGCAGAGCTAATTAGGCAACCGAAACACCCACTAATAGATTATTACATGAAAAAGAACACATCAATTTGGAGAAATACACTCTATAAGGTTGTACAATGTTTGCAAACTTAATTGCCAAGTGGAAATTCCTCTTCCAGTGGCCAACGCATTTAACCAATTAACCTTTGCTGGCGAGGTCTTTGGCTCCTGGGGTACAGCAGCAACGCGAAGGGAAACCCTGGACTCCACCCTTTCAAACTAAGGCGGAAAAGACAACAGCCTGGGGCTGATTCCCACACTCAGCACAGGTTGACTTCATACTAGGAGCTCACAATCAGTGCTTGCAAATAAATGTCCCAAGAGCCCACCACACTAGTTTTGCAGTTTTCCACTTATTTTTCATGACAAGGATTTTGCTGGATAATATGTCTGTATGATGTTATTATTATCCTCTCTCTTTTGCTCTCTCTCTTTTTTTTTTTTTTTTTTTGCAAACGTTCATGTCATGCATAGAAGGACAGTAGCTAATCCAAAATCACACAGTTAGCAAGGAGTAGAGTTGGGCCTTGAACCCAGGGCATCTGACCACGGTGCAAAGCTTTTTCTCCCTTTCAGGCCCTTTCTCATGTCCCAGTAATCACAGCTGACTCTCTAAAGGCAACACATGGCAAGGATCCATCATCCATCCACCTGCCACAGCGTGGTGGAGGCCAAGGAGGCCCATGCTCTCTGCTGGTGGTGGGCTGACTGAGGCAGGGTTTCCTGTGCGTTCCCGGGAGGGATGAGTCTGGGTGAGCTCTGGGTTCCAGGGCAAAGACCCCTTACAGGAGCCTCCATCTACCTCTCCTGGGAATTACTACCAGGCACAGAATCCTCATGAGGTGCTGCCGCAGACTCTAAGGACGAATGGGTCTTAACAGACTAGACAAATGGCATACTCAAATGGGCTGGTGGCCCAGGAGGCACAAGTCCTGAGTTGCTAGGATCAACAGTAAAACACTGGTACATGCAAAACTTAATTTTTTTAAAAAAATCTATTTGAGAGGGAGAGGGACACAGATAGACAGAGAACCAATCAGCCAGCAGGGAGCTGGATCAGAAGTGGAGCAGCCGGGACTCACTCACCATATGCTTGCAATGGCCTGCAAGCTGGGCAGAGCCAGAGCCGAAGGCTGGAAACTCAATCCAGGTGTTCTGGATGGGTGGCAAGAATCCACTGCTTGTGTCATCATTGCCGGCTCCTAGGGCCTGCACTAGCGGGAAACTGAAATCAGAAGGTGAAGGCAGGGCTCAAACCCAGTCCTCTAGGCGGGATATGGGCATCCTATCCAGTATCTTAACCACTCGGCAAAACAACCGCCATTGCATGCAGCATTTTGAAGCAAGAGCGGTAGAAGTTACAGGCAGAGGGACGTGGGAGGAGTGCATGGCTGTGTACCAAGTATGTGCTATTGGGAAAGTTGTGCAGTGTCCCTAGGCCTCTGTGTCCTCACCTGTGAAATGGGAGCCATAGCACCAACACTTCCGGGCATGCATGAGGCTTTAGTGAACCAGCATGGGACAAGCTTTTCACGTGCCACCAGGCTCCAGGGGCTGGCTGACACCTGCGGCTCTTACTGCACTGTGCTGGGTGGCCTTTCCTCCAGTGATGGGCAGTCACAGGGCCTGCATTTCAGCCCCAGGTCAGCTGAAAACTCACTGTGGGAACTTCGTCAACAGCCTCCTTGCCTCAGGCCTCACTTTTCCACTCTGCAAGATGAGGTAGGAGGACTGGATGACGTCTAGAACTCTCTGTGTTCTTTCCTCCTGTGGATTCTGCTTCCCATTCCAGGGAGTGGAAGTCAAAGGTCAAAGGTTACAGCTCTCCAGGGAGAACCTGTTCTTATTTTCTCAGTCATAATCCTAGATTCTCAGAGCACATTCTGATTGGTTCAGCTTTTGTCAATTGTCTACTCTAGACCAATCAGCTGTGAGTTGAGCACAGTGTTTACCATTG